GAACACCCGGAGGCCCGGCGCGCGGGCACGGACGGGAGTTCGGAGAGCCCGGGAAGGCCGCGGGGAGGAGCGCGCGCGCGCGCGCGTCTCTCGCACTGAGTGAGTTGTCAGCTGCGCTAAGCCAGCCGCCGCGCGCGGCCCTGCACGGCGCGCCGACCCAGCCTGCAGGTGTTGGGTGCCGAGGCGCCGGGCATGCCCACCGCTCCCACAGCGGAGGCGCCCTTCTCGAAGCAGGGGTGGGAAGAACCGCGGGGACAAGACAGTCCTTGGCACGTGGTGCCCCCCCAGCATTTTTCAACTTTTTGTCACCCCTCTCCATCGTCTCAAGAAGGGCGAGCTGTTGCGAATCAGCCTTCTTTTCCCTTCGGCTGAGAAATGCGCTCCCTCAAGGTCTGCTTCGTCGCAGTTTATTGAAGAAACTAGAGTTTGGCTGGGGTCATCCAACCTTGTTTTCTGAGCCCAGTTGAAGTCTTACACAACGTGCAGTCTGGCCTGGACATGAGGCATCAGTCCCTGCCAGGGGCGCATTTGACACCAGCCACTCATCCAGCTGTCTGGTGGCGGAGCCCTTATTTATTTAATTCTATCGTTTCCATTTATATGGCTGCCCATCTCAAATTCATGACTTTGAATTTTATTCCGTATTATAGACTTAGAATACAGTGGAATATATTGACCCGGTAGTGAAGCAAGCCCCCTTTTACTTAAAATTTTTATTCCCTGAGGCCTTTTAAGACCACTGCCTTAGCTTTTCTGTTCTATATCTCTGTTATTGTTAGTGCATATTAATGATAATGTCATTGTCCTTTGTAAGCAACAGAGAGCCATTAAAAGAGTGGATGGTATGTACATTTATAAATAAATAGCCTAAATTATAATGTAGCTTAGCTGGTTTCGTTGTAGTATTTGTAAATGTAAACATTTGATTCGAACATGTTTATACATTGGGTATAGTCAGGGTGGTTTTATCTGGTTATACATTAAATGACACATAAAGACTTGTGCTTGTGAGGAGGTTAAAAATAAGGGAGTAAAGGAAGGGTGTGGATTTTTACAATTAGTGTTAAATCCAGCCTGTGTGCCAACTGTATAATATGGTTAATTGTAATGTTTTCTGTCGTATTATTGGTTTGCTTAGTTCAGTGTTTTTCAAACTTGGCAACTTTAAGAGGTGTGGACTTCAACTCCCAGAATTCCCCTCCACACCTCTTAAAGTTGCCAAGTTTGAAAAACACTGGCTTAGTTGCTTAGTCATACTGCAACCCAAAAGTCCTGGGTAGATTTATTTGAATTCTGTTCCAGCTGTTCATGAAAGAACTGGGAGCGGGTCATAAAATAGAAATGCAATGTTTATATAAATGTTGAATCAAATTGTGATTACTGCAACGGAAGTGATGTTCTTCAGAAGCAGAAAGGTGGCTGTAATACTGTACTATCCACCAGACATCCCCCTCCTGATGTCCTTCAGAGATGTTGGCTGTTGGACCGTACTGGCTACAACTCAAGAGAGCTGGTCCAATATTTGGAGAGCCTCAGGCTGGGAAAGGCCGCTCCGCACGTTTTTCCAGCGTGAACGCAGCGGACTCGCTGCTTAGAGAAGTGCTCCAGATTGCATTGGCTGGATTCATACAGATTGGAAACAAGTCACTGTGAAATTCAGTGAAACCGACTCCCCCTGTTTGGGACGCGGCCAGCTGACAGCGCCTGTTACCTCTCCAGATCTAGCTGGCGTGGAGGGATCCCCCTCGCCCAGAGGGCCTGGATAGTCGCCGGCAAAACGCTGAGCAAATATGCACACGTGGCCTTCGCGACAACAGCTGTATTTTCACCTAGACGTCTCCCCAGCCTTGGGTTGTCTTCAAAAACAGGCAGTCCGAGAAGAGGTGGCGCTTCAGCTGCCCGATTGTTCCCACAGTGAGGTCAGCGGAGGCCGAGCTGGAAACTCAGGAAGGGCACAGACTGACCCTGTGGAGAGGGATGGGCCCGGGCACCAGGGTGGGTAGGCTGGGAGCGTTCAGCAGCGCTGAAAAGGTAGCAAACATGGGCGTGTATTACCTGTACGCACAGCAGGCGTTGTCGATACTCGAGCGTTTTCCCCACCTCTGGCTGGAGATGCTTGGCTCCAGACCAGAGACCCAGGCCGACGTCACCAAAGCCTGGGGAACTGAAATTGGCAAGGAGGGTGTGAGAGAAAAGGAGCGAGGGAGAGCGCCTAAGGAGAGGGTTGGTTTCCAGCAATTTTGGCTGCAACAGCTGCTGATGCTGCCACTGCTCGGGGGGGGGCAGGGGGATTGGTGGATGGGCTGGTGCTTGCGCTAATCCTACTCCCCGCTCCCCTGGGATACGGGCCTAGCTGGTTGGCCTCCTGCCCAGATTCTCTGAGGCTCAGCGTGGGGGTTAAGCCTCATTACATGGGATTTAACTTGTCCAGCCAAGTACAGAGTACAGCCCAGACTGTCCTCGTGGAGAGGTCTTTGAGGAGGGGGATGCGGTTTCATATTCCAGAATCAGGATTTGGGGTGTATGAAGAAGATGATGATGATGGACTATTGTGGAGGGTGACAGCGGGCATTTACATTTTCATCCACAAATGCTCAAAAAGTATTTGTGTTTCCTGGCTCCCCTCCCCCAAACCTCCCTGCTTTCTGCCAAATTCACAGATTTAATTTTTCCAATATTTTGCCTTCCGCTATAACCAGAAGGAACTTCATTGTATGTTTCTGGCATCATTAAATGCTCACTTGACGTGGTATGGGGAAGCTTATTTTGCTTTTGTTCATCATCATCCCCAACTTTTTTAGAATGTTTCTCTCTTTTCCAGAAAACAGCTTTAGGTTGAACTATTATCTCTTAATTGCCACTGCTTAGTGCAGAGTATTGTAACCTGTTAAGAATAATAACAAAATTACTATAACTCTAAAACCCTTGAACAAATCGTAGATAAACGATACAGTCTCCTGAGCGTGCATTTAAAATAGCCACATTTACCTCTTTGGTAAAAAGGCTTATTTTCAGAAACACATTCACAGGGGATATTGTCTCTTAGGCCATAAACCAACTGAGAGGTAAGATGGTTAAAAACACAGGTATTTGGAAGGGCAACAGATAGAAACTTGGATCCACCATTTATTCATTCTATTCCAACATATTTTGCAAACTGTGTATTTAAAAACAAACAAACAAAAAACCCATGAAATTTGGAGGCAGGAAATGAATTAGGCCAATGGGTATACACAGTTTGGTGGCTCCAGAATCTGGAGTATGTGTGTTTGGCATTTGGATACTTTCTCCTTATAATAATTCATCTTTGCCAATATTTTTGAAGAGTTGTTGATCATTTTGCAAAAAAAAATGTTCACATTCCTGTAATATTTATCATCAAGTGTATCTGGAAGTGGGCTTTAGCTATGGCGGGGTCAAAGTTTGTTTGGACATTGTTTATTTTGAGTTTATTGTTTGTTGGGGTGACTGGTGGTTGTGATAATTCTTAGGTCAATAAGGGTGGTCAGGAATTATCAGTGTGGCACTTGCCAGCATAACTTTCTGACATGTGTGAAGCCCTGGGAGGTCATGAAGATGTAGAGACCCTGGATACCCATGTGAGTGGTGATGGAGAGGGCAGCAGGAGCAGAGGTGAAGGCAATGGAGCTGGAAGCTATTAGGGACCTGCCATGAAAAGTCATTGCTGAGGCTGGTGGGAAGCTAGGGCCAAAGAGAGGCCTGCGGTTTGATGGAGTACAGCTATCTCGCTGGCTGGACATATCATGGCTGGTGGCTAGCAAGGCTTGGCTCCAGCTAAGGCCCAGCTACAAGCCTCCTAAGTTTTTAATCTGCTTTTCACCACCTGGACATTTCCCATAGGCAAGTGAAGATGGCCTGGATCCCTGGGGACCTTTTTGTCTGGGGGAAGAGCAATTGGAAGGGGTGCCTTGAAGGGGGCAGGAGGGAGATGGGGCTATAGAACCGCCACTAAGCTGGGGCACTCAATACATCTGTTTATTTGGAGGCCTTCAGTGATTCCAGCTTGTTCCTCCATGTTGGCCCTGAAAACTGGGCTACTGGAATCTCTCCTGGACTTGGGAGGTGGAGTCTCTGTTACTTCATAACTACTTGTGACTGTGATCTTACTCTACCCCTGGATAGGAAGGGGGGCTGTGGTTCAGCAGGATGCATGGTAGAAGCTTGGCATTCTGACAAATCAGCCATCAATAAACACACAGAGATAAACCCCATTTACGTACCACTGAAAAGACACAATCAAAAGCCTAGGAAGGAAGCAAACACTCCAGAACACAACCCAGGCTCTTGGCCGAAGCCTTTGGCATGGATGACTGACGCCCCTTTCTTCTTTTTTGTTCCCCTCAGGGTTTGTTTTCTTTGCCATTGTTGTTCTGTCTTGTGCTGTTGTGTGTGTGTGTGTGTGTTTCTGTGTTGATTTCTGTCCTCGAATGTCTTTAACAATTGTAAACCACCCAGAATTGCTGGGAGTTGGGCACCATATAAATTTAATAAATTATTGTTATTATTATCCCCTACGCTCCAGCAGCCAACACCCAAATAAACAGGAAACAGCACCAGATAAACAGTCAAGAAAG